AAATTTTAGGCATTTGGAGTGAATTACCTAGTCCTATCATTACTGGATAAACCCAGCTTTTGGGGATCTGAACGCCTATCTGCCTGCACGTGATTATATGTGTAAAACCCTCATCTGCAAATCTTCTACAGACAGCTAAGCCTATTTCATTGACTTATTACTACTCTTACTTCCTTCCCATCCCTTCATTAAACTGTGCTCCTCCTAGATTGCCTTAGAGCTCATTCAAAAAGGCAGTTCCAATAAAATATTTGCAATAGAGCCTAGGCATCATTCTCATATTTAAAGATCTTAATAATGATCTTTAGTATTAATTTCCAAGGCTCTCACGAAGATGCTGATACTCTTTAACCTCCCCACTTCTGTAACCTGAGGCAGATCAATTGCTTAGAGAAGTTTTATCTCCATCTTGCAGCTAAAGCCTGCTTGGATGATATCACTTGTAGTCATGAAGTGAACCTCTGGAGAGCCCCATTGACCTTGAGCCAGGGCAGAAATAGTCCTGAATTCAGAGAACTTGGCTTTGCTTTCTTTTATTAGTAGTGAAATAGATGGTACCTCCATTTATGAAGGCAGTTTAAAATAAAACAGAATTCTATGTTCTAATTCCATACTGCCATGTAGCTTTCTTCTGCAGGGTTCACACTCCAAGAAGCACAAGTGGCCTTTCAGACAAGCTCAGCTTCGGTGCCTGTGTTTGCAGCTCAAAAGCAGATTGCTGATGCTCCTGGTTTGTTTGTTTCAGTGCTTTCTATTAGTAGGCAATGCTCATGAGAGTTTACTTGGAATTTGAGGTGAAAATGCCCAGCCAAAGAGACCAGTTGAGAGAGAGAAAAATCAGCAGCGCATTAAAATAAGAGAATCGGGCTTTTTGTGAGAGACACAATTGCTTGTTCGCTGTTGTTGCTGAAACGCCAAAGTACTTTTAATAACTCCTTAAACCTCAGCTTTCTATTTAATAATCTTCATAATCCTCACCCAGGATTGCCAGGGAGTAATTTGTGGTTGCAGTGTGTGTGATGGGGAGAAAAGCAAAGCTGCCTGACAGAACATCAAAGGTTTGTGCCACTAAAGTTTTATGCAGCCATTGCTAAATCTTTCATGCTCGAAACAATGATGAAAAATGATTGTCAGCTATGAAACCAAAATTACATCAATCTACTCCAGGGTTGTGGGTTTTTTGTCTTCATTTGAAAACATGACCCAGCCTAGCACAGTTCACTTGCCAACCTCAAGTGTTCTGTCAGGATTGAAACAGAATAGAACTCAGGAAGGGCGAACGCATTTCATGCTTCACAAATGTATGTTCGGGGTGGGAAGGAGAGGATGCCCAAAAATAATCAGGCAGGTCAGTGCCCAAATATCTCATTCTGATTGTCTCTATATAACACATGTACCAGGCAATGTAACTGCTCTCTGAATTTCCAAAGGGAATATTCAGTGTCAGAGTAGCTGAAATGGAAACTAAACGTTACTGTAGGCTTTCGTTCTCCAGCAATACTGCTGCAGGTGATTTTTCTAGCTGTAAATAAAGTGATTCTTAGAGCTGGATGCTGAGAAACAGAAGTGTAGGGGTGATTTGGCTTGTCATCTCTATCAAAATCTGGTCTTAATGAATATCTTATTACAACTTGCACACCTGCTCTTTCCTATGCAGAGGCCTCCAGGCTGTATATCAAAGAAAGGGAGCAAATGGAGAGAACCAATGTGAGGTTTAAATGATCATCATTAACTCTGTTTTTGTCATGTAAGGCATGCACGTGTGAGAGAGGCTGCATACAGCTGCTGTTGCAAACAGAGCCCGAACAACATGCATGCACTTGTATCTGTGTTGTTGTATGCCCATGGCACGGTGGGCTGCTGGAGGCAAGAAGTCCTCAGGCCTAGAGGTGGAGAAGACAGACTGATGCCCCTCTGTTAGGACTGAAGCACACTGACCTGCTGTTGTGCAGAAGAGCTGAATCACTCAGCACCTTGCTGCTTTCTAAGGCTACTTGTACGGTTCAATGCAATCCTCTCACCAGCCGTGGCAAGGAGGCTTAATCTAGACAACATCCATTCTGCATTGCAGGTAATTCTTTGCATTGTTATTGGAGAGAAACAGGAGAGACATGGCCTAGCTACTACACTCCTTGGACATGAGGGTGGTCCCCCTGCAAGGGCTCTTTCCCTCCCCAGGCTGTGCACTGATCAGCCAGAAGCTGACAGGAATCAGATTTTCCCCTTCAAAGCTCTGTTTTCTTCTCACCGAGGAAAATTTGCTGATCTTCTCAGCCATTGCCTTAGCAAAGTTGTGTTCTAATACCTTGATTATAATTTGAAGCTGATTAGCATACATGCACACAGTCAGCCTCCAACATATGGGAACCTTTCAGAGATTATGTTAATTCTGAAGAGATGCTACTCAGCAGTTAGTCACAAAGTCTGGTATAAATTGCTAACTTCTCTCTGCTCTCTTTCTCATTGCTGCTGCTTATTTTCTGGCAGAGGAGTTGGAGGTCAGACAAAGAAAGAAATGAAATACAGTCTAGCAAGAAAAGGGTATAAAGATAAATGGTACCATTGAAATGTGATGCACTTGCAAGTCTGCCGCATGGTAAGAAGTGCTGCATGTTGATGAGCTGCGTCATCTTGCCTGGTCGTGATGCTTTTTCATCTTCCATTGTTTTGCTGTAGAGCCAATGACAAAGATGACATTAAGCCATTTTATCCCCAAAATCCAAACTCTTAATTTAGACAAGGGTTGTTCTGCTATTGAGCAAAAGAGGACAGCTCTGTGCCAGAGCTTCACAGAATTCCTCTTTGAGAAGGAGAATCACTTCAAGCACCTAGATAGGTGGATACTGTCCATGTTAACTTACCTGTTCACAAAAAAAACCTAAACCCACAACACCCTCTGTGTTATCAGAGGACCTCTTTGCTCAGGAGGGTCCCTCAGTAAGATCTGGCCCTATGAAGCCCTACTGCTCCTTCAGGGGCACTGGATCTTGGATGTTAGGGAGAAAAGAATCAGCTAATCAGCTTGTTCCTGCAGCTAGCATCCTTCAAGATGGGCTCTATGCACTGGGGGTGTGCTTTATGGTATCGGGAGAAGTAAAGGGGTAAAGCAACATGACAAGACCAGAAGCCAGCAGTTGGTATTGTTTTACTTGTGCATCTGTATTATAAGACTTTATAGGATTGAATGGCTCCACAAGGTAGCTTTAATGAAGTTATAAAAAGGCTCATCAATGTTCCAGCTGGCAGGTAGCAGAATGTGAGATGCAACTGATTGTCAAATGTACCCTCTAATCAGTCATGAAAAATTACATGTAATTCACTTAGGTTTACTTGAGAGAGACTTTAAACTAACGGTTCAGTCAAAATACCCTCTAATCTTGAAACTTTCTTTTGGCCTAATTCCTAAAATCTGAATACTCAAGACCTTCACATTTGACCTTTCTAGTCAGAGCATGGCTGATCCTCATGGCTTAAACTTCTAATTATATAAATGAACTAATAAAATTCTCTTTACAGTGATACTCCTTTTTTTCTCCATGGCTTTCCTTGGAAAGCACCAGAACTTTAAGAAGAAAGGCCTCAGTATAAGCTTACACCAGAAGGTTTAAGTCTCAGAGGACTTATTTCTTTCCTTAGGTAAGCTTTATGGAAAATGTGACTCTGAGATTCTACTTATTTATACATTTATTTAATGTTCCTTACAAGAAGGCTTATTTTAGAGATGTCCTACTTCTGTAGCACTGAACATTGGTGTTTTGGACAACTTAGTCTGCTGAATTTACTCTTAGTGAGAAATAGGTTGTCTCTATTGGCACCATATTATGAATAAAATTAGGGGGTTTGGGGGTGTTTTTTAGTAGCTGGAAGCATCCAGAGGAATAGTTGCCCTTCAGAATCTAAGTTTACCATGTTGTGGTTATGTTTCTACTTATCTCCTAACAGTTTTAAAGGGTCTTGCATTCTGCCCTCCCCAAATGTATTGCATCCCCCTGATTGCTTCTGCTTGTCCTGCAGTTCAGGTCCTGGTTTTCACAGCTGCCTTTATGCCATATATACAAAGGTGGTGGAACATCTTTGGGACATGTGCAGAATAACTGGTCTCCACCTCATTCTCAGTGAAAGTAATAAACCACAGAGAAGGTGCATTCTCACTGCTGGTTTCCTCTTCATCTGGGTTTGGTTTTGCTGCAGGTGGAAATCAGGGTGAGGGCAGAAGAGTGCACCTAGAGATGCGATCCAACTTAATTTTGAATCAAGATGTTGCTCTGAACATCCTAATGTTACCTGGATACCAATGGTACAAGCCCCACAATAATGAGTTTCAAGCCACTCAGGGGTGATGAAAGAAGGGAGTGGGGAGAAAACCACAACAAACCCACAACAAATAAGCACAAGATTGCCTTGTGGATTTTCTGGTTCTGTTAATTTCTGTGGGGCTGGGGTGTCCCATCCTCAATTTCTCTCCCATCTGCCCTTACCATGGAAACTCCTTACTCACCTTTAGCTGTGCCTAGCAAGTCCTGAAGTGCAGCAGAAGTATTTGGGTGGAGTGAGACTGTGGCAGTGCTGGGAACCCCATATCCGTGATGTTGGATTCGCAGTGGTTTCCTGTAGGCTAGTTGGTATTTTGCATTGAATGTCTGTTCACGGTTGGGGCACGTGAGCCACTCTGCTGGAGTGTGCCAGGAAAAACTCACATTGATTTATTCTTCACCAAAAATTGTTTTCTTTATAATGCTTTTTATTTTTGGAAAGAGCTACATTTTAAAACTGTTCAAGTTTGCAGAGAAAATCAAATCTATTTTTCACTTTCTTTTTTTCTCAGCACTCTCATGCAAAAAGTACTCAGTTTTCTGTCCCAACAAAAGTACAAAAGAAGAGTAACATAACAGAATATGTGCCTGGTACAGTATCTGCAAACACCATCGACATCCACCATCATCAGGATGGTCAGATACTTTTCCATATTTAATAGTGTATTTTCTCTGTTACTTTCACAGGAACAGACTTCCAGATCTTAGGTCTTCTCATACCACTGGACAGGTAAACATGCCTGAAGTGATTGTGCAGAACACTTCATAAAAAGAAAGAAATGAGGTAATCTGTCCTAATTGGGTCTTGTCCTGAATGCATTGTCAAGTCCTCCTATGAAATAAGTTTTCTTTCCTTCCCCTTATACTTCTCTTTATCATTAGCTATTGTAACTAAATGTTGTTTCTTTTATAAAGCCAAGTATTCCTTCGAATCTGGCTGAGCCTTTGACCACAATTACATTGCAGCAATGAGTTCTACTTAAGGTTTCTCCCTCAATTTTTCTTTAATCACCAAAAATACTTTTTTTTTTTGAAAAAGAAAAGTTTGCATTTTTAAACAGCTTTTTCATTTAAGAAAAATGGATTAAAAATTCCAGGATAGACTTCTTTTCTATCTTTTCAAATGAACTCACATTCAGGAAAGGCTTAGTTTGGAAGATGTCATACAGAAAGATAAATGTTTGAAGAGCTATTGCTCTTTTTATTAGAACCTTAGGTTGTTAGAGAAGCAAACAAAAATAAATCACCAAAGACAGAGCTTGCTTGTTGAAGACCTCATCATCATCCAAGTTGCCAAACTGGGACAGGAGTGAAAAATATTGCCCCATCACTGTTGCATCCAATTCAAGGTCAGTGATCTTCAAAGGAATTGCAATAATAAGGAAAACTACCTCAAAGAAAGGAAATTGGGCAACAGAGGATACAGAAAGATTGGAAGCTCCATATCTGATAGACCTATGCATTTTCTAATTCATTATCCTCTCTTTCAGCAAGGCCCATTCCAGCCATATCAGAAGATGGTTCAAGAAACTTTACAGCAGGGTAATCTATAGAAAAATGTGCCTGCACAGAGTTTATGGCCCTTATTCTATAAAGCTTGCTTTCTGCTGTTCTACCTGTTACACTGGATACATATGCATGCGTGCACGCACAAAACCCCCTCTAGGTGTTTTGGCTTGCAGTACACTATTGGGTATTTTTCAGGCTTTTTGGAAGGCAGCTAAGCTGCTGACCTGTTTGCTCCTGTGCAGCATAAAATCCTCAGGCTAATAATAAACACACTGTTGAAAAGAGCCTCTCCTTCAGTGTTTTCTAAAGCAGTTGCCTTTCATTTTATCGAGTGCCTTCTACTTACTGTAGTAGAGGATGACTTAGACCTGATCGTGTGACCTTCATGAAATTTTCATATTCGCTTCTATTTCCAAGGCATTTTAAGAAACCTTTATTTTACTTTTAAGTTTTTCATTTCCAAATTTTCTGTCTTGAGTACTTCAACAACTGATTGAAATTGTATTGAGAGGCAGGAAAGGAAGAAAACAAAATTGATTTATTCATATCAGGGAGAAACAAATTCATTTTCTCAACCCAGAGAGCTGCCTTTAAGCTCACCCGTGGTGGAAGGTCCATGAGTTTCAGCACTGCAGGTGAATGCTTCTGGCCCAGAACTATTTCATCCACCTGAAAGGGGAGTTAAGTGTCTGTCAGTGTATCTAAACTGCCAGGTTTTCCTTTAAATAGTGTTCCAGGTTTTCATAAGCCTCAAGACATTTTTGTCATTTCAACCTCTTTTAGCTTATTATGTCCTGCCAACCATGTCTAGATAAGCCGCAATGAAGGCTGCTGCCTCCATTATAAGCCACATCTACTCTATCAACAAGCCTTCAGTACCATGACCATTCTAGAAGCCCTAAGATCTGATCTGCCATTGATGATAGGCAAGTTTCAATTTGGAGTTGCTAGCCTGCAAAAATGATCTGTAAATGGCATGTTGCAGGCTGTTATTTTGTATCCTGCATGATGGTGTTCAAGTCTTCTCTCTTCCCTTCAATGTGAAGGTCATTCCTCCAGATCAGAAATTACTATCACTCTAAGTGACACAGGGAACCATACCAAAGGCTTTATGTAGAATAAAAATACAGGCAGTGGAATAATGTTCCGTGTCAATCCTTTTCCTGTGATGTTAATTTCTTACTGAGCTGGAGTTACAACCAGTTCTTAAGAAAACAGCGTGTTCCAGAATATGTTTCTTCATTGTTCAAATTGGGGGATCATTCCTCAAATGATTTTTGCTTTATTTTTAGTAGGAACTATTCTCTCATTTCTTCCACTGCCTTTTTTAAAGCAGCAAAGTGCTTACCAACCACCTTTTTACAGCTTTCATTTTCACCAAGCTTTCCCGAGACTGTAAGTGTTCAATATTGCAAATCCATGTTTCCTAGTATTGATGAATCTGGCTCTTGGAAAGTGTGAGCTACAATGATTAGCTATCTGATTAAAGCAAGAAAAAGAGCTGCCTTGAGGGTTTAAAAGAGGTGCCCTTTGCAAGATTTAATTTCATGATCTCCCTAATCAGTGTTTTGTAGGTTCAATGTACATCCTATGCACATCTTTTAAATCAGTGCAGATTGCATATTGGTTTATATTGTTATCACAAATTAGCAGTACAATATCACTTTCTCTGATGTGGGAAACTTTGAATGGGAATCGTTTGCATTTTTATTTGAGCGTCCTGGAGACAAATGTAATGAAATGAATAGCCTTTTAATTTAATTGGCTTCCAATGTGAGTCTGAGAATAGAAAGCACAATACATCGTGCAGTTACTGTAGAAACGGCTGAGGTCAAAAGCTCAGCAGGCAGACCCTACATCAGCTACCACTGCTCTTGTGCAGTCATCTTTTTTAATTCTCCCTGCATCTCCATCAGGCCCCAGGAAGCCAGATAATTCGGTGTTAGTATTCCAAGGGGAAGTACTGGGTCATTTCTCACTGGTCAGATCATGCAATGGAATCCATCTTTAAAAAGGTGCCCAAATGAAAAACTACATTGTACCAGTGCTCTTACACATCAGCTACAAGAATAAGATCAGGCCAAAGAATAAAAAGAAAGGGAAAAATCTCTGTTTCCTTCTCATAGAAGAAAAAAGAGAGAGAACAAGGGAAGAAAAAGTGGTACAAAATGGATAGTAGTCTGCCAAGGAATCCTTTTAAAAAAACATCTTTCTATTACAAATTACAGACAATTAAGATTTATGTGCTATTTAGTGGAGCCAGCCTTGCTGAATGCAGTGAAAGCAAAAAGGAAGATAATATCATGCTAATATTCAAAAGTCCTACATACTTTTGACTGTAGAAATAAAGAGCTATAGCTCTTATGAAAGTTTAGCTCACCAATGAACACACAAACCCTTCCACACAGAGGTAAATGTAGAAAACTGGTTTCTTTACCATTTTGAGGCTGGCTAGGGCAAGATCTGTGCTGCTGCTTCAGCTTGAATTCATTCATCTGTCTGCAGGACAGGTCAGAACTCCTCATCTGTGCCTGATGCCATATGCTGATGCTGCTACGGAAAGCTGACACACAGCACTTGCATATGGACCAAACACAACTGCACAGAGAGGATCACAGTAACATCCCATTTAGTTTTTGGGTTGTTGATTTTTAAAAGCACAGGAGTTCTTTTTAGGAGGTGTTGCATGAGCAGGGGTTGGCAGGTTTAATGTTTCCTGTTACAACACTAAATTATTACATGTAACTGCATTATTATTTGCTAAGGGTGATGGAGGGGGTAGTACTTCCAAATAAAATATCCTGGTGCTCAGTGTTCTTTCCAAGGAGGTAGAGGACCTGCGTTCAGCTCCCTTCCTGTCTAGAGGAACTTCAGTCTCTTGCCTTATGCCTGTGAGTCAGGTGCCCAGGCTGTGTGCAAGCTCTGGCCTCCTCTTGTGCAAGCTCAGTTCCTGTACAGGAAAGCCAGGTACGCCAGGCCAAAACTAGGGCACAAGCTGGTGTGTGATTTTGTAACCTGGCAGCTAAGACGCTTACTGGGGCAGGACAGGATGTGTAAGCAGTCTGCTCATGTTGTCTGCATCGCTCAGCACTAGCAAGGAAGCAGTGCTGTGAGCGGAGCCTGAAAGCCAAGTTCCTTAGGGAAGGAAACAGTCGATGGGGTGTTTGTAACAGGGTGGTCTGCAAAGACCAGCTACAGCGGGCAGGGATGAGGCCCCCCCCCCAGTAAAGGGAAGAAAGGGTGATGGTTGGAAGACACCTTATATATAGTCTTCATGAGTTCATATGGTCATCATATGAGTAACCTGGTCTAGTGGGAGGTGTCCCTGCCCATGGCAGGGTGGTTGGAACTAGATGATCTTAAAGGTCCTTTCCAATCCAAAGTGTTCTGTGATCTGTGGCACTGGAATGTCCCAAAAGCAGAACTGTGCAGGAAAGCTTTAGGTAGTGCATGTTATTTTGGTTCCTCTGTGCAAATAATGGAGTGGCATTTTGAAACAGTTTGTGAGGGCTTTTTTTGTGGTCAAGGAAAACAGACCAGCAGCTTAAATCTGTCCTTTAAAACACACACACACTTACTTCCCTTCTTAGCCCTGTCAATTCAAGAGGACAGTGAACTTCTAGATCAGTTTGCACTCACAGCCTGTGTCCTTGCTTAGGAGAATGAGGAGCAGCAGTTTGCAACCCAGCTGCTCCTGATCGCATTAGGTAGTGACACCTGAGAGCATAGCCTGGCTGCTCAGAGATGCTTTGTCTGAATTAAGTCTTACACTGTAGTAAAGCAGCGCTCCGCGTAGATGCTCATTGGGAGCTAAAGTAATTGCAGTTTGATTTAGGTATAGAAGTAATTGAAGTGTGTGCCTGCATTGAGTGCACAAAGCAGTGGTTGGAGGGGTTTTGTGTTATCACTGGGAGGATGTCCTGAGCTAACATGTTATTTCAGGTTTCATGGAAGTTTGACAGCTAATGCACCCGGACGAATTGGATGCATCCTACATACACAGCCTACATCATCCGCTGTGGAAACAAACTGCTTAATTGTGGTGAGGCTGCTGTGAGCAGGTATCCATAAGGTGGACTCATGGAGGTTGACTCTGCTGCCTTCAATTTAAACGCTTAATTAGTTTGAATTGATTGCTCTCAAGTACCCTCATGTAGACAACCTTCAAATTGAAGGGATTAGCCTCCAGTTTAACTCTCTTGAAAAAGCTAACTGGGGACTAAATGAAAGGAAAACGTGAAAAAGTGGGTTTTGAAGGGAAAAGCTTCTGAGCCTTGGTGAAAAGGAGATGGCATCTAAGGTGAATTTGGTATGGGTGGGGTAATACTGTGCCTGCATAGTAACATTGCATAGTATCGCCTACCATCCAAATGGTTTCTGTATCTGCTATGTTTCACCAAGTCCCTCCTCCCAACAAAAAAAAGGAAGTATTTGTCACTTTAAAACACATCATCACTCCTGGTAAAATTGTCTATTTCTCCTTTTTTGATAGTCAATATTCCTCAGATAGTGTTGGAACTGAAATCAAAGCTTTTCCTTTTCTCAGTGTTCAGCTCTATTGAGAAATTCTGATCTTCCAAGCCTCACATATGACTCTTTCCCCTAATTTTGACTAGCCCCCTATTTCTAAGGGCTCTGCCTTTTAGAGGAAATCCTGGTGTGGTGACCTTTGTTGGAGTATGGAGTAACCAAGGTGAGTGAGCGTTATAGGGTATGTGTGGAGAAAAGCTCTCTGTAGAAGCAGATTTGGTAATTATACAGCAAAGAGAACTTGTTTTCCTGCAATGTCAAATGATTCACACCTGGCCTACCCTCACTCTGCAGCATGCTAAATAATGCATGCATTTTTGAAAGGATATTAAAAAATGGCTGTAAAAAAAAATGAAACTGAGAGAGGAGCTCATATAATGCAGCGCATCAGGGGGAAAAAATATCAGTAAGTATAGATGGAAAAAATGGCTGTGTCAGCCCTCATGGCAATAACACATTTTCTTCATAATCTCCTGATACATGGAACAGGCAGTTCCAAAGAGCAGCTGTCCTGATACTGCCTTGGAAATGAAAAGAGGCTGAAAAACGATAGAGCCTGCTAGCTGTTATCTGCACAATACCTAAGCACTAGGAGATTATTTCAAGGCATGTAATGCAGCAGTGTGTGTGTGTTAGGGTGGTGAAACAGCCAGCAAGGAGATGGCACCAAGAGGGACTGGGGGAATACTGGTGCTGCAAGGGTTAAGAGCAGAGTGGTGTATTTCCACAAGGACCTACTGCAGAGTAATGGGTC